TATTGGTTTGTGCTTTACCTTTTTAGCTTAGTGATAGGCTAGTTAATAGGTTTGGAACCTAGGTTGCCTAACTCCTTTTTGCGGTAGAGATAGCAACACATTAGTAAAACCGTAGTTGCACATTTAAATAGTTTATCTTTTGCATATGTTTTTGCTAAAAATAAAAAGAGGTCATAGTTTAGAGTTAGAGTTTTAAGTTGCCTAATTCACCTCCTCTTAGGCGTCACGGTCCCTTACAGGGCATATATACGACGTAGTGTCGTGACCGTGCTCCGTCGCGTCGCCTCCAGCGTTTGGCACTCGTCGCCCGGCATCTCCACCACGCCCTGAGCGTGGCCACCCGCTTCCTCCCTCTCCATCGCGCCTCCTGCTCGCCGCAGACGTTTGTCTTCCTCCTGGGCCTTGTGTCGTCCTTGCCTTGCTTTGGTGCCAGATGTGGCTGCCCCTCCGGCCGCTTCCTACGCCACCCCATGGCACAACACTCCGCTGGTGGTGCATAGTAGATGAACTCCTCTACCCCAGGCGTACGTAGCCGCACATCCCTCCTGTTTTGTTATGGTGCAATGTTGTGCCGGCTGCCTTGACGCACCTCCGCCCCCTCCTCGCGTAGATGTCTTTCTTGTCGCCTGTGCTGATGGCTGGCCTGCTTGTGGATGATCTTGGAGGGCAGCGGCATGGTGGCTTGGCGCAGCGGGGCTACGCGTGTAGCTACGCTCCCTCCGTGCAATAGGTAGCAAGGAGATGTTGCGCGAAAGCACATATTACAAGCGTATGTTTTAATTGTTTTAGATGTTTATGTTGCAAGTGTTTCGCATGGATGGTGCAAAAGTAGATCGGGATGTTGCATATGTTGCAAGGCTATACACGCATATTGAGTCTGATCCAAATGTTTTATCTGTTTCTTAGATGTATGCTGCAAACATTTATCTGAATGTTGCATATATTTCACGCATATGTTGTAATTGTTTTATATGGATGTTGCATATGCTTGCAACAGCTTTCAAGTGTTTTCAGACGTTTTGTAAGTGTTTCAGACGTATGGTGCTTGTTGCAAGTGTTTCAGACGTATGTTACAAGTGTTTTAGTTATTTTCGGACGTACGTTACAAATGTATCATCAGGATGTTGCAAAAGTAAATCATATCGAGTGTTGTATATGTTGCAGTGAAACCCATCTATAGCGGCCACCTGCTGTAGCTGCTAAGGTGCCGTGCATACAGTTCCCTTGTGAAGCGGGGCGTGGGAAGCAGCCGGCGCAGGCACATGCAGTCCCTGCGTGCTCGATACGGAGCAGGGGTGCAGACAGTGCCACGTGCGCGCGGGAAGCGGAGCTGAAGCTGGCAGTTCCCGTATGCGAGTGGAGGGTGCCGGCAGGACGACGCGGGCACAGGAAACGAAGGAGGTGCAGAAAACAGAGAGGTACGCGACACAGTACAAGACCCTTCGAAGATACTACACACGGAAGGCTCATCATGGCCCAGTCACTGGGCATAGGTACGTACGCGCGCGCGCGCAGGCTAGGCCCCCTACTTGGCATGGCTCATTCGATCTTGCTACTAGTATAATCTCCTTCGTCCCATTCGCCTCACCGACACTTTTGCAACTGCAACTTGCGGTAGTGCCAGCGCGCAGCTTGTCTCGCACAAAAGGAATCCATCGGCCTGATTGCAGAACAAAAGAATACTAAGACTCGATCGATCTAGCACGCCGGCGAGCGAGCAGAGTAGTGTGACGCAATAATGACGCAGCAAGACGTACGAGGCGAGGCCACGGCGGTGCTGCTGTGGTGGACACTGGACAGCTTGGAGTTGGAGTTGGATCGACCATCAGAGGCAGCTTATCGTCCAAGGCGACTAGGCGAGCACGCACCCCAACTGATGGATCGGCGGTGAGAGCGAGCGCGTCCCGGAGGAGCGCGCGCACGCGAGCAAAGCTGGCCGGATATGCTCTCGGCACTTAGCGCACCACAGCTAGCTAGTAGTGTATGTAATGCACGCTCGTTTGGATCGTGGGGGGATTTGTCCAGCGGCCCCGCATATATTTGTCATCAGATGTGGACGGACCGTCTGCTCTGACCGATCCGTCGTCGTGCGCTATTAAACTAGTGCCGAGGGGGTCGTCGATGCGGATGTGCTGCCTGTCTGCCTGTCACATGCATGCTGTTTCAGTTAAGGGAAGGGAAGGGGAGTATGGCCTGGGGCACGCACACAGACAATTACTTCCGCTAGAGCGATGATCGATTTGGTTCTCACACTTAATTCTTAGTTTAGTTTAGTTTGGCGGAGCTTCAAGCTGCTTGCGCGCTATGGTTGCAAACCGTGGTTTGCCGTACTTAAACAGTTAAACACCATGTCTATAAAACCATGCACGGCCTCAATACTACCACCGTGACCTCTGAACTTATATAATACTACTAGTACTAAGGTGCCCATTATATAATCGGGCCATGATAATGATTTATTTATTCGAAAGGCTAAGCGTTTCTTAGCTTATCTAAAAAGTTGAGATATAATCTACCGCGTGCCTCTACATGGTGGATTGTAAAGGTGCATAAGGGTTCTTCAATATGCCAAGGCGCCCACACTCCAGGTGGACTGCCTGTATTACGTTACGTGTGGATCCAAATGCTGCTTATCACATCACATTTCTAAAAACCGTGTAGGGCCAGTGAGCCATCTTATTAGCTACCTACCTCGACAGAATTTCATGTGTATGTTGTGTATACATGTATGTATTAGTATACGAGCCACAATATGCAACTATAGAAACATGTACATTGGGTTAGATCTGGAAGGAGAGTGTATGTCATGTCCGAACGGAAACATAAGACATGGGCGAGAGAGACAGAGAGATGCAGAGTCCGCTCTCTGCAACAATCTCCGAATTCCCAGGATAGCAACTTGAGCTCAAGTCTCAACGCTGACGAATTTCAGGGATCCAGCGCACGGCCAAGTGGGCAGTACAGCACAGCATGCAGCTCTGCCGTTATACAACCGCACGTGCTGGATCTGAAAACTGTGGTCTGCGGCGCGCGTGTCGGTGTGAACCTGCACTTAAAACACAGCAGGGGATGGGGATCGACGACGTGCGATGGGTTGCCGCTGCGGCCAGAATGCCAGATGGAACGGGCAATCTGCGGCACATGGACGATCGCTAATAATCCAAGCCACCATCTGCATTATATTCTCCAAAGCGAGGCTTTTGTTTCCTAGCTTCGGCCATGTTTAGTTCGGCGAGTTGGCGCGGCCGAATTTACTGTAGTTACAGTAGCGTTTTGTTTTTATTTGGTGATAATTGTCTAATCGTTGACTAATTAGGCTCAAAACGTTCGTATCGCAAAGTACAATCAAACTATGCAATTAATTTTTAATTTCATCAATATTTAGTACTCTATGCATGCATCACAAGTTTGATGTGACGAGAAATCTTCTTTTTGCATGGTGTCGATTTTGGATGAAATAAACATGCCTTCGATCCGTTAGGCGGCATCACACGTCTCCGTCGTCACATGCATGACTGCAATTCAGAATAATTGCTAAGAAAAATTAAAACAAGCGCGCCGTTTAATTGGATGATGCCATCTTGGCTGGAATTACTTGAATACGTATAGGAGTATGATTGATCGATCGATCCATCTATCAGCCTGTTCGTTTCGGCTAAATTGGCTTATAAGCCATAGCTGAAAGTACTGCTGACTGGTTTGGTGTGAGAGAAAAATACTGTTCAAGCCATGAATTATAAGCCAGATACGAGCAAATAAGCCGAAACGAACATGCTTTATATATGCCTGCTTGCCGGCATGCATTAATATTAGACATTTGTTGATTTCCATGATTAAATCCCGAATATAACATATGCATGGTTCCGGCACTGATTGATTTAACAAAGCATGCCAGTTTTTCTCATAATAAATAGCATACTATTATATAAAGTAGTGTTTGAATGAATAAAACAAAACCATAACGGAGAATTATACCGTTATTATGGCTTGTTTGACTTCACTTCATCAATCCACCCAAATCCATGTATTGAGGCACCTGTAGATTGACGTGAATCAGAGTGTAGTCAAGCAAGGCCTTAGGTGGGACTGGTTCTGATGGCAGCATTGACACTGTTATTACTTATTAGCATAAGTACACATTCTTACCGAGTCTTGCTGATGTAGCCAATCTCGGTTGATGCAGTGTAGCGATTTAACACAGTGACGATCCACATAACGATCAAATCGGCCTCCATTCACATCTACATCATCACATGACTAGTTTTTTGTGAATTAGCAAATACTTGAAACAGAGTACTAGTTACATGTTATTGTTTATAAACATTTTATGATTTATTTTTTCTACTGTTTTCATGGATCAAAATAAACCAAAAATATGTCACTAATCCCAACAGCCAATCCAGATCTGGTAACGGAGACAAAAAAAAAAATACAAAAAATTGATCTGGCTTTGTAGCCGTTATATTCATTCTCTCGTTGAACGAGACGGAACGCATGGCGATAATCTCTTGGTCCTGCCATGTGTTACAGATGCTGCCATCGCTGCAAATAATCTACTTAATATAATAAGCTGGTCCACCCTGTACCTGTAGAGCACCGTAGCTTCGTAATCGTACCCCGTGATGCGGATAGGTCAGGTCATCGACGAGGCCAGCCGACAGCCAGCGGGCCTCTTATTCTTCGGCTGCTTCTAACCGACGATCGATTGATCGGATCAGATTAATGTGCGTGATTTTGTATATACATACCTTGATACCTCCTCCTCAGGCAAGTGAACAGCATATATCTGCACACTGCCACACTCCTTTATACACTACTCTGCTCACTTCTCAGTGCTGCATTCACCGAGCGAGCTGAGCTAGCGACCAGCAGGCGCGCCTCACTGAGCTGCTTACGGTTACGGAGCTAATTAAGCCCAGCTAATCCAGTCTCTAGCTAGCAGAGCTAGTTGCCAGCTGCTAGCTACTGACACTGATCATCGATCGAGGGAGGATCGAGGCATGGCTCCGCCTCAGGCGCCGGCGGACGGTGGTGTCGTCGTTGCCGGCGGCACGGCGGTGCCGTCGGAGAACGGTGCCGGCGACCATCACGGGGGGAGCGTCGACAACAGTAACGGCGTTGTCGGGGGCCGCACGACGGTGCCGTCGTCGTCGGTGGCGGCGAACGGCAACGGCAAGCAGCACGGCACGAGGGAGAGGAAGAAGAAGCCAGCAGTCGTCAGCCCGATGGACAAGTACTGGACGCCCATCGACGACAAGGAGGCGGCGGAGGCCGTGGAGGACGGCGGCGAGGACGGGCGGCGCCCGCTCCTGTTCCGGACGTACAGGGTCAAGGGAATCCTCTTGCACCCCTACAGGTGCGCAAGTACATCCGGCCTCAAGCCTCATCGCTAATAATACACGCGCACATGCTTTACTGAGAATCACTGTTTCTACTTTTGGCCATGGCTCTTGAATCGTGATTGCCATTTTGGGAGTGTCAATGATCAGTTACGTACGCACGCCTTTTTCCTCAGCTTAGTTGCCTAGTAAAATTATATTATTACTAAAGTAAAAAAATAGGATAGTAGAATTTTTTTTTGAAAGGGCAATAGCAGAATTGCACTCTTTTTGAAGGGCTACATACTAAGCTACCGGTAGGGATTTTCCTTCCCTGCCGAAAAGAAATTACTTGACTGAGTTTTTTAAAAGAGGGACTCGTTTTTTTTAGAGAGAGATGGGCACACTCTACACAATTTTCTTAGGAGAGATCAGTGGTTCTTTACTCTCTTTTTTTTTGAAAATGGACTACTATATACTCTCTCTCTCTCTCTCTCTTTTTGAGAATTCACTACTATATACTCTTTAGACTTTAGAAACGGTGCACTGAACTTTTGGTTGGGCGTAATAAACAAACATGGGCTTGCAGGCATAATATTGGGCCGAGAGATGCAAAGTTCGCTTGTTCGTGAAAGCGCATATTCCGAACCTGGGCCTAGGCCCAGCATGCTGCAATGTGAAAATGGGCGGGCATTTGCCCACCGGTCCACCAATCTCCCCTTCCCTCGTCCCATTCCGACCCAACAGGCCTACACTCCAAGAGGCTAACACGGCGATGACCGACGGCGACGAGACAGCGAACCTACCACTACCAGCGCCGATGGCGGGGCGGCGATGCCGTGCCTCAGGCGCTCGCCCCGCGGTCCCGTATCCCAGCTTCCGCTGCCAGCCCCGGAGCTCTCCAGGCCGACCCGCCTCCGCTGCTCGCAGCACCGCCTCGCACGGGTCGCCGGGGAGCTCTGGGCTGGCGTTCCGTCTTCGTGGCGCGTCTCGCTAGGTGTGTCGCGTTGTCACTTCTCTCATTTCTAGATCTGTGCTACGATGAGTTGTGGCTGAGAGTTGAGATGCCCCATGCGCACTGTGCAATCCGAGTCTGCTGTGTGCCTAACTGAAGATTTCATCTCGTGGACTCCATCCATTGCATTACACATGAATTAATTCAGTTCTGCAGCTCTGTTTTCTTACTGACAACTTGTAACGAATTTTAAAAGACGGTGCAAAATTGTTGTATTTACGTGCATTGTCACTAGTCATAGTATTCCAGTCTACTCATTCCTATTTCAATGCTAGGACTTCTCGCAGTAGTAGCTTTCCCTGACTACATGTTCTAATTTTGTTTCCGGTTTGTCTGCAACAGGTTGTTGACCTTGCTGAGATTGATTGCTATCATCCTATTCTTCATATGGCGGATCAGGCACCCGTACGCCGATGGCATGTGGCTCTGGTGGATATCCATGGTTGGAGATTTCTGGTTTGGTGTCACTTGGTTGCTAAACCAAGTTGCAAAACTCAACCCTATCAAGCGTGTCCCAGACCTTTCCCTCCTGAGACAGCAATTCGATCTCCCTGATGGCAACTCTAATCTCCCCAGGCTTGATGTTTTTATCAACACCGTTGATCCCATAAATGAGCCTATGATATACACTATGAACTCTATCCTATCCATTCTTGCCGTAGACTACCCAATTGATAGGACTGCTACCTACCTCTCGGATGATGGAGGGTCCATAATCCATTATGAGGGCTTGCTTGAGACTGCAAATTTCGCAAAACTTTGGGTTCCATTTTGCCGAAAACATAGCATTGAGCCGAGAGCTCCTCAGAGCTATTTTGCTGTGAAGTCACGCCCGTACACAGGAAATGTACCAGATGAGTTTGCTGATGATCATAGGCACATGTCTAAGGAGTATGATGAGTTCAAGGTGCATTTGGATGCACTTTTTACTAAAATCCCTGAGCGCTCAGATGCATACAATGCAGAGGCCAAAGAAGGTGTAAAGGCAACCTGGATGGCAGATGGAACACAATGGCCAGGAACATGGTTTGACCCTGCTGAAAACCACAAGAAAGGGCAACATGCTGGAATTGTTAAGGTATGCAATTTTGCTAGCCCTTTTTCTTTGTGTGGATAAAACGTAATTAGTCTCTAATAGTGGTGACTTATAATTAGCATAGTCTTGCATGAGTGACCTAAGAAAGTGTATTAATCTATTACCCTTAACATGGCTGTTCATCAGGTTATGTTGAATCACCCGGGCGATGAACCTCGGTTTGGTGGACCAGCTAGTGCTGAAACCCCTCTGGACTTCAGTGCTGTTGACGTGCGGCTCCCAATGCTTGTCTATATCTCCCGTGAGAAGAATCCAAGCTATGACCATCAAAAGAAAGCAGGCGCCATGAACGTGCAGCTGCGGGTCTCTGCACTTCTGACTAATGCTCCCTTCATCATCAATTTTGATGGTGACCACTATGTCAACAACTCACAGGCCTTCCGAGCTGCAATGTGCTTCATGCTGGACCGGCGTGATGGCGACAACACTGCTTTTGTTCAGTTCCCACAACGCTTCGATGATGTCGACCCAACAGACAGGTACTGCAATCACAACCGTGTCTTCTTTGATGCCACCTTGCTTGGTCTAAATGGCATCCAGGGACCCTCCTATGTTGGCACCGGTTGCATGTTCCGCCGGATTGCTGTCTATGGTATTGATCCACCTCGTTGGAGAACTGATGCCTTCAAGCTCGTGGACAACCCCAACAAGTTTGGCAACTCAATGCCCTTCATCAACTCCATACCATCAGCTGCGAACCAAGAATGGTCCATGACATCACCACCGGCACATGAGGAGTCTGTCATGGAAGAGCTGAATAATGTCATGAAGTCTGCATATGAGGATGGTACTGAATTTGGAAAGGAAATAGGCTGGGTGTACAACATTGCTACGGAGGATGTGGTGACGGGCTTCCAGTACACGGACAGGATGGCGATCTATGTACTGCCGCATAGAACCAGATGCTTTCCGTGGCACTGCACCTATCAACCTCACTGAGCGCCTCTACCAGATTCTGCGCTGGTCGGGCGGTTCCCTTGAAATGTTCTTCTCACACTGCCCACTCCTTGCTGGTCATCGACTAAACTTCATGCAACGAATAGCCTACACCAACATGACAGCCTACCCAATCTCATCAGTCTTCCTTGTTTTCTATCTCCTCTTCCCCATCATATGGATCTTCCGTGGTGAGTTCTACATACAAAAGCCGTTCCCCACATATGTGTTGTACCTCGTCATCATCATAGCAATGACAGAACTGATCGGCATGGTCGAGATCAAGTGGGCCGGCCTCACGTTGTTGGATTGGATCCGCAACGAGCAGTTCTACATCATCGGGGCAACAGCCGTGTACCCATTAGCAACGCTGCACATTGTGCTGAAGCTAGTCCTTCGTGGGAATGGTGTTTCGTTCAAGCTGACAGCGAAGCAGGCTACAAGCACCGTGAACGAGAAGTATGCTGAGATGTACGTAGTGCAGTGGGCGCCACTGCTGATCCCCACAATAGTGGTGATCGCCGTGAACGTCGGAGCGATTGGGGCGGCGATTGGCAAGGCGATCGTTGAGGGATGGTCGCTCCTGCAGATGGCCGATGCGTCCCTCGGACTGGTGTTCAACGCATGGATCCTGCTGCTGATCTACCCGTTTGCGCTCGGGATCATGGGGCGGTGGAGCAAGAGGCCCTATATACTGTTCATCTTGTTCATGATTGGGTTTGCTGTAGTAGCGGTGGTGGTTGTTGCCATCCATGCTGCGCGCACTGGTTCTGTTCGGTTCCATTTCAGACATTCAGGCGGTGCTAGTTTCCCTACAAGCTGGGGTTTTTAGCTTGTGTTCATCATCGGTTAGTGGCATCGGTTGCAGTTTGTTCCCTTAGCTGAGAGTTTCTTCGATGTGGAGTTTTTACATGATGTAAATCGTGCATTGATTGTACAAGTTTGTTCAGTGAGTGGAAAGCTAGCCATTTGTTTGGGAAAGGAACAAAAAATGGTGGTAAAGTTATAGAAAATTTCTGCCTTGATTTTTGACATGTACTGGTATGTGAGTGCAACGTGGCTCTGATTTCTTGGACCGGGACACTTGGATTTTGGGGTAAGAAACTGTCTGAATGTGAGTGGTTGTAATTGCTGTGAGTAGGACAGGCCTCGCCCCTCGGTTACATCATAATTTGGAAAAATAAATCTACTCGCATGTGTTTTCTGCTCGTGCACAGTTCAGCTCAAGTGTGTGCGACGTGACTCGTAGGAGCATGCGAGCTGCACGCTCATCTCTCACGTTCCCCGTCATGGATTGGGAAATCTGGGGAAGCCTGAATGAGCTAACAGGCCATGCATGTTGCCTACCCCTTTGTTTTCCTTTAATTTTTTCCTTCGGAGTGAACCAGTGTCGTGCTAAACCTAAGGCGTCCAGTGTGAAACCGAACATCTATGGTGCATTAACTCCTCCGAACCTAACACGAAACAGCAAAACACGAACTACGAGTCGATATCTGAGTCCAAAGACGGTCGGCCAACCTGTGTTGGTGACGGTGATGCGTGTTGGGGCAATGGGGCTGACCTGCGACCAGTATCATGGTCATCATTCTGGATTTCTGGTATTATGCAGTCGTAGTGCATCTTCGACCCACGAGTAGGCTGTCACAAGAGGATCCTATTATACTATTATATACTTCCTCTAAATTGCAGCCTGGCAACATCCAAGTTCTCACCTTGGGACCTTACTTCTTCGCAAGCAAAATTGGTAGTTCTAGAATCAACTGAATGGGATGTTCATAGCAGTGAAAGGAAGCCATTGCTGCATAAATTGGTTATGAGAGAGTTATCCTTCCCATGTTTCTGGAATCATGGTGTTCATAAGCAATTGCTTTCTGTGTTGTTCCACACATATTCAGTCCACGCAGATGCTCTTACTGAGATGCAGTTTGGATCTCTCAATGCACTACTTACGCCAAATTGTATAAAACCTGTTGGAGAGAGTCGGTTGGTTAGTGCGCCATTGTTTGATCTTGAGATGCTGGTTGATTATGAGCTACTCGAGATGAGGATTGTTAGGGGTGATTTCCTGCAACCATCAACTGATGCTCCATCTGAACTTTGTGTGCTCCATTGTCTCAGTCCCTATTGCATATTTGCATCTATTAGCAATTGGTTCGACCTGCCTGGCTGTTAAATTTGTTTTTTTTTTCCCAATGGGTTTCTACTTCCCTGTTACTGCTAAATGGAAGTGCCGGAGTTGCTCCTTTATTGACTGTTGGCTCTGCAAGATGGATGGCTAATAGTTTGTTGCTACATGAGAGGGAAATTGTCGAAAGTCACACAGATTGAAATGAAGGCTTTGTTGGACTACAACCTGACCTCAACCCTTATGTTGGGCACGCTCTTGGCCACCACTTGTTTATTCAAGGTTGGAGTGAATGGGTCCACGACTTGCTGCATTGAGTTGCAGCCATGGCCACCTCCTGAAATACTTCATACTGACATTAATAGTAAGTTGGTTGAGACAGGTTCAGTTGCCAGCAAATTGATTGTTCTTGCTCGTGTGGTCATGACCAGAGTTCAACCGGACTACCGGAGGTCATGTGTGATGGAGCTAAGCTGCTGCCAACATTGTGGCCCTTACTCAGTTCTAGATACCTCCTAATTGCAGATGCAGTGATGTTCTTAAAACAATCGCCATGGGAAGAATTCAGTTACAGGAATGTGAATTTTGTTCAAGCTACCAAGGTGGAGGCTTCAACATTGAACAACCCACTAACATCCATGGCTCAAGGACATGTTACAGTACTTTCATCATCGTCTTAGGGGCAAGCCGAAGCTAAAGAAGGGGGGGATTCTGTCAAAAGAAGAAGAAGTGGGGAACGTCGGGCTTAATGGGCCGGCACGTGCTGTCACACAAGGCCCCAGCAAGAACGGGAGCATGGCAGCAGTAGCAGATCGGGGCATGAAAGAATTATTCAGAAATCCCAACAAGGTCATCTCCTTCCCCAGATCCCGCTCTTCCTCCTCGATCTTCTTCTTCAGCCTACCTTCCTTCTATCTGAAGCTCTCTTTGATGTACCTCTGATCGAGCCTCTGATCTACTCTGATTTCCCCTCCTGTTTCCTTCCCTGAACTCTTCCCTGCTGTATTGGAATACATAGCGCTGGTGCTTATTGTTGTGTGGAGTAATTGGTGTTCCATCGTATAGAGAGCTGCTAACAGGGAATCAAGGCCGCACAGCGCGGCCATTGTCAGATGCCACACCGCCTGCTCTCTCGAGCTACGGCCTCGCCAGACCCAGACCCTCTTGAGCGCGCACACAGCACCCGCGCAGTTTGCACCCAGGATGCAGGATTCAGCATAGCACTGGTGGAAAACACGAGCCCCTTAGCCCTGTTTGGAGCCAATTCTCGACCGCGTACTGTGAAAAAAAAGAGCAGGTGAACCGCCCCAAACACCACCAGTTGCACCGTGTCTAGCACGACCAGGTCTACAATAACGGCAAGATTTCTTTTGGTCGGTCATTAGATATAACTGAATATATCGAAACACTAAAAGTTCAGTTACAAGACAATGAGCGCTGAAATATAGAAGACCACATGTGTATGATGTGGTGCTTCCTACATAATACATGCAACTCAGGGCAGCAGCATTTCAGAACACCGGTCATTAGACACAAGAAAACCAGGGCAACCAGATGCATATTAGAAGACAGATGTTGAGATACAACAGACTGCATCCACTCCAATGCTCCAAATATGGATGGGAACCTATTCCTGAAACCGAACAGATGCAGTTATTAGAACATCGAAACGACCATTGCAGAAAGAAAATGCATCCAAAACGTTTACTTAATTGCTTTCCACAGTTACTGTGCTAGGCATAATTTGAAGGGTGGACTACTCACGGTTCAGGCAAAGTTTTGGCTCAAAAAGTAAAGATGCATATAACACTAACATGCTTTTTTTTTTATATCTGAGCTGACAATCTTACTGCAGTAACAAGGAACAAGATCTGGGATTCCAAATAAGTTATAACGATACTAGAATAGGCAGAAGCTCATTCTAACTGAAAGGCCTATGTAGCTGAGTTTAGTCTCATAAACCTGAATTTTACAGCAAACTGATCAAAAGACTATACTTTTGTAGACCGGCAATGCTGTTTGGAAAACACTACAGAACTAGTACCACTCAGCTCAGCTGCTCCAATAGATCATAATATAATTAGCAACTTTAAACTGCAACCAGGTGAGCCTATCACAGTCACAAGATATTCCCGTTCGGCTTACCCCATATCCGGCTTGTTCGGCTTCTTTTTTCAGCCGGAACAGTGTTTTCCTCTCACAACAATTCAGCCGGAACAGTGTTTTCAGCCAGTTTCAGCCAAAATTCTGCCAGCCGAACGGGGGGAATCAATAGAAAGAAGCCTTTGCCAAAGTTCAGGATATTTGCATAAGCATGAGATGGGAGGCAAGGAGAGAACAGATATAAGCCCTGCATTACCGAAACTAGTCATTAAACAATACCCAGACTAGTAATTAAACAGTACCCAGACTAATCATATGTGAACAAGGTCACATCCTCACAAAGTCACAAGCATACAAACCCTTTCTAGATTTGAAACAAATGCCCAGAAGCTTGTCGATAAACTAGTGCTTGTCTTTTTTTATTTATTTATTTCATGATTTTTTGAATACCATGAGCCCGTGAAGGACAGATACAAAGTCTTGGACAAGGGCCGAGAGATGGACCGTGGACATCTAGACTTGGACATGTCGACAAGCAAGTGTCGAGATGCGAGGATGATGGTGAAAACGATATTGATCGAAGTCAAGACGGTGATTGGACAAAGTCAAGGTGGGTGAGCAAGCACTTGCTGATCAGCCGGTCGAGGACGAGCGAGGTGCACATCGACATCATGGAGAAGGCGTAGTGGCTGCGCGACTCCAGATGGATTGTTGATTTCGGTGTCAAAACTGTGGGGCAGCAGGTCTGCCGATTTGACCTCAAAACCAAGGAGTAGCGGATCGACAAACAAGTGCATCATGAAGCTTGCGTCGAGGCGAAGCAAGGTCTTGAAGACGTTGGGACCATCGGATGCACGAGGAAAAATTTGGATGGTTTTACCCTTCGGGGGTGTATATCCATTATTACTAGTAACTAGTCAAGACAATATATATACTAGATGTGGCTTGTGTTAGAAGCATCTTTGCAACCCTAATTTCATTTCTCTAGATTTAACCAAATGCTTAGAAGGGAGAGAGGCTAGGGTAATCACCTCTTGCTCTAGTTTTTCAATTTCTTAGTGGGAGGTTGATGGGAGAAGGCTACTTATCTTGTACAAATGTATTCATAGTTGGTTAATCAATTTATTTCAGAAATTCGAGCTCATCTTGTCCTCTCCCTCGTTTTTCCTTTTTTTCTATGATTTTTCTAGTTATTTTCTCAGAAATTCGTCCGTCGCATTTTGATCGGATTTTTTGTGTGGATTTTTGGAGGAAAATAGTGCTAGGATATGTGAGGAGACACCTTTGATTTCAAATTTTCCCCAAACCTGTTTTGTTCTAGGCTTCGTCGGTTGATCTGAAATTAGCACCAAATCCTTGTTCTTTGGAAAGGGTTTTCATTTGAGATGGATGTCACATGAACTTGTGAAGCCCCCTCTAATTTCTGAGCTTAATTGGTTCGAGATTTGTCCGCTTTATTTTCTCGGTCAAGCAATTCTTCCTGTGCTTTTGCCCGGTGTTGCATTTCTTGACTTCGCCGGACTAATAGCAGCTCAGCCTTTTCTTCTGAATTTCCAGCGCGCAGCAACCTGTAGTAAATCAGCACAGCTGCCTGTTATTGTCAT